GGCACTTGGAAGTGGAGGGCGGTGTGGGGATCGGAGCAGAGATGTTTCAGTTGCCAAATGCAGGCGTAGGTTTCTGAGGCAGGAGTGAAGGAATGAGAATGAATTTCTGTGGGAGAAATCTAAGAAGTTCAGGATTGGGAGGCAGAGATTGGGCCATCAGATTCTTCGTAAAACAGAAATTGCAGAACATCTGCAAGGGATTTGCTTCTTTCCACAGGTAAAAACCCACAAGGTTGATTGTTGAGTTTAAGTTGTTGATTTAAAAAAAAAAATAAAACCCAGACTTCCCAAAGATAAAGAATAGAATACCTCTCAAGGGAGGAAGAAACAAATAATAAAGATGCAACTGAATCTCATGCCATAGAATCAGACACTCCGGAAAGGAAGATTCCAAAAGCCAGAGGTTTTTCTTTGGACCGGGTGGATCAGTATATTGGCCATGGTTCTCCAGAGATATCACAGTCAATAGGGTATAAGAATAAAGGGAGATTTATTTCAGGAACTGGCTCACGCAATCATGGCAAGTCCAAAATCAGCAGGGAGCCCTGGCAGGCCCAAGACCGTGAGGGAGTCTGGACAGCTCAGGTCTGAGGCCATCTGCTGAGCCCACCCTCACTCGGGGAAGGTTATTCCTTTCGATCCACTCCAACAGCGGGCAAGGCCCCCTCTCTAGGGCGGGCACCGTGCTTCATCCCAGGCTTATGATGCATATGTTGAATGTTAATCTCCTCCAGAATCACACTCAGAGAAATCTCTAAAAAGGTAGCAAAAAATCAGTGAAGATACTAAAAGCCATCAGTTGTTCTCTTGAATAGAGTGAATTCTATGGTATGTGAATTATAAATCTCAATATAAAACGGAGGCTGGTTTTAAGAACATTTTGTGAAAGTGAACTTGAAAATTTCAGTGATCTTTACACATACAAACACACACACACACACACACACACACACACACACACACACACACAAAGACTCAAATGAATTAGAAAACCTGAGCAGTTCATAAAAAAATTGAATCAGTTAAAAAAAAATCTCCCAAACAAGAAACCTCCTGAATCAGGTCTAGGAAAAGTTTCAAGGAAGAGGTAAGACCAGACTTAAATGTGTCATTTCAAAGGACAGAAAACACATACAGTTTCCCAATTCATTTTATGAAGAGATCGTCACCTGATTAGCAAAGCCAGGCAGAGATGATGGGATAATTACTAAAGAGCTTTACTCATGAACATAAGAGCATAAGCACCAACAAACGTTTTATTTTTTTTCAAGTTTTTTTTTTTTATTGAATGTGAGCTAGACTGTTACAAAGGTGTTCATGATTGGGTTTTAGTTATACAGTGTTCCAGCACCCATCCATCCACTAGTGTACATTTCCCAGCACCAGTGTCCCTAGTTTCTCTCCCATCAACCCCCTACCCTCTACCCCTCAGCTCAGGAACTTTATAGACTCAAAATCAACCTTAAAAGAAGTCCTAAAGGGGCTTCTGTAAGTCAAGAAAAGCACTAACAGTATTTTTAAGAAATGAGGAAAAAAGCATTCCGAGAAAAAAAAGATGAACCATAAGAAAATTGAGATGGCAGAAACATAAGGCAAAAATATAACTAAAAATAAAAAGAAGCGGCTGGGGGCATAGTACATCAGGTAGGACATTTTCCTGCATGTGATTGACCTGATCTCAATCGCCGCATCCCATATGGTCCCCTGAGTACCACTAGGAGTGATTCCTAAGTGCAGAGTCAGGAGTTAGTCCCTGAGCATCGCCAGGTGTGACCCCAAACCACCCACTCCCCCCCAAAAGACAAAAATAAGGGGTTGGAGCTGTTCATGAAACCCCGTCATGAACAGCTTTGTAATGGTCTATCATGGTGATTCAATTAAAAAAATGAAAAACAAACAAAACATTTGAGCAAGGAACTTGCCTTGTCCTGCCCATAGTTCATCCAGGTTTCAGTCCCAGCTCTCCACATGGTCTTTCAAGCACTGCAAGGAATGGTCACTCAGCAGAGCCAGGAATAAGCCCTGGGCATAGCCACTGTAGCAAGAAAAAACCCCACAAAATCAAGTTTGTTTCCTTTTCAATGATGTGCCTATTCTTTGCTCTTCTTCTAACTTGGATTTTAGTCTTCTTCATATATAAGGATGTATGGATTCCTGATAATACTGTTAGTTTCAGATAGCACTATAGCACTGTCCTCCCGTTGTTCATCGATTTGCGCGAGCGGGCCCAGTAACGTCTCCATTGTGAGACTTGTTGTTACTGTGTTTGGCATATCGAATGTGTCACGGGTAGCTTGCCAGGCTTTGCTGTGTGGGAAAGGTACTCTTGGTAGCTTGCTGGGCTCTCTGAGAGGGGTGGAGGAATAGAATCTGGTTCGGCCAGGTTTGCTGCCTGCAAGGCAAATACCCTACCCACTGGGCTATCACTCCAGCCCATTAGTTTCAGATGTTGCAATTTTTCTTTTTCTTTTTTTTTTTTTTTGAGCTGCACCAGGCTGTGCTCAGGGATTACTCCTGGAGAGTTTGGGAGACCCTCTGGGGTGCCCAGTATCGAATCTGGGTCTGCTTTGTGCAGGCGAGTGTCCTACCTACAGTAATAACTCTCCAGCCCCATATGTTGGAATTATTCCCTCCTAGTGAGCCACCAATCTGTTGCTTTTTTTCTGTGATGTTCTTTCTTGTATCAGAATAGTTCCATTTTATAGAGTCAAGGTAGTGATTCTTCTTTGGGGGGAAAGTTAAGAGATTTGGGGGCCATGCTCAGTAATGCTTGGGAGTTATTTCTGGATCTGTGCTCAGGAGGGACTCCTGGCAGTGCTCAGTGAGTCACATGTAGTGCTGGGGACTGAATTAGGATCCACTGCACATCCTGAGTTTCTCTCCCACTTTCTCCTACCTCCTCCCTCTGCTCAAGTGGTTTTATTTGAGAGAGCAAACATTGGAGACAATTTAAGGTTGAAACCTGGGAGCATAGATAAGGAAACGTGGTTTGGTGCACATCATGAAATTCTTTGGTTGCTCTTTGGGGACCACAGTTAGGGGCCACGGCTCAGGAGCCCATGGGGTATGCTGCCCATTGAACCCAGGTTGGCCGCTGCAAGACAGGAGCTCTACCTGGCCCCCTATCATGGAATTCTTTTGAGTCAGGAGTACTAACAGTTTTCACATTTCCATATGGATAGGTCTCCAAAGGAAAATTATTTGCTACAGGGGATTGTTTATGCGGATTAAAAACATACAAGCTGGGACCAGAGCAATAGTACAGCAGGGAGGTCTTTGCCTTGCACGCAGCTGACCCGGGTTCAATCCACGGCATCCCATATGGTACCCCAAGCACCACCAGGAGTAATTCCTGAGCGAAGAGCCAGGAATAACGCCTGAGCATCGCTGTGTTGTGACCCAAAAAGAAAAAGAAAAACCCAAACATACAAGCCTTGCCTTTTTCAATAGTACACATTTGAAAATAGGGCAGGGTTTGGGACTCGTATTTTTAACTGCTGGTGCCACATGGCCCCCATGAGCCTATCAAGCTGTAATCCTGGAGGCTCCAGACACTAGCCAGGTCCCTACTACGCGGTCTCAGAGGCCTGGGGCAGCCCCCATCCTTGGGCCCTTGTATTCGCTATCCGGGCTGGTTGGCTGCGATTCACTGGGAGTGGCCCTAGGGCTCCCAGAGCACCACTGGGAGCTGGCCCCCAATGGGACACATACAAATGGAGGATGAATGTTCAGTTGGGGGAGCCCTCCCTAACCCTGGACTGTCCTGGTTCTTCTGGCCTCTTACATGGCTGTGGACAGTACAGCAAGGTGGCATCGCAAGCATAAGGTAAAAAGGTAAAGGCCCTCCCGTTGATCATCGATTTGCTCGAGCGGGCCCAGTAACGTCTCCATTGGAGACTTTGTTACTGTGTCTGGCATATCGAATACGTCACTTGCCAGGCTCTGCCGTGCAGGCGAGATCCTCTCGGTAGCTTGCCGGGCTCTCCGAGAGGGGCGGAGGAATCGAACTCGAGTTGGCCATGTTGGCTGCATGCAAGGCAAACGTCCTACTGCTGTGCTATCGCTCCAGCCCACTATCGCAAGCATAGAGACATCAAGTCTGGAACCTTAAGTTTAGGTCCAGGTTCTGCTGAAAACGCCTTTGTAATTATCTTTTTTTTTTTAATTGAATCACCATGAGATACTGAGTTACAAAGCTGTTCCTGATCAGGTTTCAGTCACACAATGTTTTCACATTTACAAGGTAACTGCCTACAAGTTTCCTTATGGTGTAGGGGAGAATATGAAGGACTTTCTGCTACCTAGTAGTACCTCACACAAGACAGGCAAGGATTTGAGCACAGCAGGAGCTGGCATATGAGATGTGTGCCTCCCCACCCCCTTGTTGTCTAGTGCCCTGTGTTGCCAGTGTCTCCTTCTTGGTTATCATAGTAAAATACTGCTTTTCTAAGAATATGTTAAGTTGCTTCTTAAAAAATTTCCATCTGTTTTAGGGGTTGGAGAGATAATACAACAGGTAGGGTACTTGCCTTGCATGCAAACAACCTGGGTTTGATTCTCGACATCTCATATGGTCCCCTGAGTACCACCAGGAATAACCCCTGAGCATTGTTGGGTGTGGCCAAAAAAAAGGAACCCCCCCAAAGAAAAAAAAACAACCCTTCTATTCCTTTAAATAGTAATAATACGTAAGACACAACTTGAGAAGGACTATGAGCTTAGGGATGGGTTAGGGGAAACTAGAAAGTGGGCTTTGTGTCAATTAATACAAACCAGCAACTGTCGGAGATGCTGTCTGTCTCTAAGAATGCAGCTCTGCCTTTGAACCAGGCTGGTGAGCCTGGTTTATGTCCTCCCTCTCTGAAGAAGAAAATTCAGCTTCAGTGAAACCCATGGAAGAGCTCAAGAGTGTTTCTAGACATATGTGATCAAAACTTGTCAAAGTCATATTGAACACTGACTGCTGAGTTTCCTAACCATTGCTTATTCTGATTACCTAGGTTACCCTTTCCCTACTGCTCCTCCTGTGGACCCGTTTGCCAAAATCAAAGTGGAAGACTGTGGAAAAACTAAGGGGTGCTTTAGGTTGGTAGATTTTGTAAGTTGGGTAACTTTATGACTAAGACAATTCATTTGCTTCTCAATGAAGTATTTAAATTGCATGCAGTTCATTTGGATCACGGATGTAGTCGTGATGGTCATGCGAGTTTTCAGCCTGAAAGAATTTATGCCCGAGCTTGAATGCCATAAGGCATTGGAACATTCTTCTCTGATTTCTCGTGTATGACTGGACTTCCATTGGTTCAGGGGTCTACTCCTAACTGGTTGGCTAAAAGCAGAAGAATCACATGACCCAGATTATGGTGTTTGCTTAGTCAGCAGGGATTGTGGGTGAGTCAGACAGTGATAGGTACCTGTGACACCCAATGATTTGTCAATGAGTCATGCCCTACCGGATATCTCTACCATCTTAACTAGTCATTAAGCATTGATGATGTCACTCGCTTGTGTCAGTAACTGATGAGTCCATGAATGATTATTCATAGTTTCCTCTCAGGATGGACGGAGAAAATTCGAGTCGTCAAAACTCCTATCTGAACAGTAGTTTTTCCAACAGAAAAGGAGTTTTTTGTTAATTAAATATATACCAAATTTTTGTTTTTGTTTGTTAATTAAATATATACCAACAGAAAACTCCTTTTCTGTTGGAAAAACCTCTCTCTTTTGGAACTCTTCATCTCCTGAAACAAGCTGCCTAAATGTACCCCCAAATTCTGATTTTGTAGGAGGAATAGGGGTGGAGAATATTCAGTGCGAAAGATCTAAGGAGAAAAAAATTGAATTCAGGGGATTTTCCTGTTTTTTGAACACCGGGGTGGGAGGGGAGGATAAAAAGACATTGAGTAATGCAGTAACGTCTCCATTGGAGACTTTGTTGTTACTGTGTCTGGCATATCGAATACTCTCGGTAGCTTGCCGGGTCTCTCCGAGAGGGGCGGAGGAATTCTTGGAGAAGGTTGCCACCCAGATCCATTATGGTAATTAGGGGTAAGTTTTGAGAAGGGACGGAGGGGAAGTACCCTGCTGCTTTGCAAAGACACGCTTTTTTGGCTCCATTCTCTTTAGCGTTGTACCTTTTGATTTTTCTCATCCCGGTTTTACATTGTCTTGTACTTAGATATTTTCCTGGTTGCCCCAGGAGACCTGCCTTGCTTGCCACCTTGGCCAGTCCTTGGCAGCCTGTGTCACTTCCTTCGTCTGCTTTCTCTCTGAGGGAGATGATAGTATCCTGGATGTTGAACACTGTTGAAACAGTGTTCAAACCAGAGTTTCCTGCCTCTTAAAGGATCTAGGAATCCTCTAGACAAAAAATGTAGATGTTTGGCTCTTATTCCAGCAATTCGTATATCTAATCTTTAAAAGATTCCTATATACATAATCCCATTATCTGGATAACACTTTCTACTGCTCTGGGCTTTAGTGTCTGAATTTGTTATTGCATTAGCACGGAGTCAAGGCAGTTCCCAGCAGAGTAGCGGCAAATTGGAAAATAAATGTTGCAGTTATGCTCAGTGTAAACCAGATGAGGTCCTCTTTCGGTGCATTATACAAATGAGGGTTTTGCAGCAGTGCAGACAGAGAAAAATGGAGCCTTGCTTCGCAGTGATATCACGATTCATCAAAATATGTTGCACACTGCAGAGAAGAGAAAGTTACTGTCAGGAGGATCACAGTTATACATCAGTTATACATCGCGTGAAGGCCATGACCATAACTATTCCTGGTTTTATAGTCTAATTTAAAATTAATATAGAATTCTTAGTTTAGTTGCATAAAAGTTAGTAAATAAAAAGACTTGTATAGGGACCAGAGCAACATTACAGAACGTAAGGCATTTGCTTTGTACATGACCCACTTGTGTTCCATCCCCAGCACCATATAGGGTCCCCTGAACGTTGCCAGGAGTAATCCCTGAGCACAGAGCCAGGAGCACTTCCAGGTGATGCCCCAAAACATCAAGCAAAAATTTGGTATATATTTAATTAACAAAAAACTATTTAAATGGTTAACTTTGAGAATTTTTACCACTAAAAGCGATTAAATAGTAGCACTAAGAAACAATAGAATGTAAAGAGTAGGGACTTAAGTTCAGAGACCCAGCATCAAGTTCTGAGACAGCTACTAACACAGTCTACACTGGCAACTTTGAACAAGTTTCTTCCCATCTCTGGACCCTCTTTTTTTTGTTTGTTTGTTTCCTCTTCAGAGGAGCTCAGGGGCCCAGGGGATCAACTTCTATATTGTTTATTTGAGGAGGCCACACCCTGAAATGCGCAGGGGTCACTCCTGGCTCTCCACTTAGGAATTTCTCCTGGCAGTCCTCAGGGACCATGTGGGAAGCTGGGGATTGAACCTGGGCTGACCGCATGCAAGGCAAATGGCCTACTCGTTTGTACTATGGCTCTGGCCCTGTTCCCCAGTCCCTTGTTTTTTAACATAAAGTGGAGCCCATCATTTCCAAAGTTCTTCCTGATTGGAGTAAAGTCAAGAAGAAGGTGTTTTTGAAATTTTTGGTAGCAAAGATCTAATTTGTTGGGCCGGAGTGATAGTACAGTGGGTAGGGTGTTTGCCTTGCATGCGGCCAACCTAAATTCAATCCCCGGCATCCCATAAGGTCCCCCAAGCAGCACCAGGAGTAATTCTTGAGTGCAGAGCCAGGTGTGACCACCCCCTACAAAAAGTAAAGCAAAAAAAAAAAAAAGATCTAATTTATTGACAGTATTGCTTGACTAGTAGATGATACAGATGTCTGTATTGTGTTTTAAATATGCATATGAAGAAGCAGTAACATATTGGGATTTGTCCTATAGATATGGCAAACCCGGCTGTAATGCCGAGACCTGCGACTACTTCCTTAGCTACCGAATAATAGGGGCTGATGTGGAGTTTGAGCTCAGCGCAGACACGGATGGTTGGGTAGCCGTTGGATTCTCTTCTGACAAGAAAATGGTAAGAGGTGAATCCCAACACAAACTGATTATATTTTTTAGTTTGCTGTGCCATTTTTGACTAAAAAAATTGTTTGTTTTGTGTTGGAACAACATACACCCGGTGGTGCTCAGGGCTTACTCCTGGCTCTGCACTCAGGAGTTACTCCTGGCAGTGCTCAGAGGGACCACATGGGTTGGTGGGGATTGAACCTGGGTCCGCACATGCAAGGCATGCACCCTATCATTTGTATTGTCTCTCCAGCTCCTGCTCTTGATTCTAGAGGCTGAGCCTGGTTATGTTTCTCTGAGATGTTGTGCCACTCTGAAGAGTGAGGACCCGATTTCTGGCATCTCACTCTTTTGTAGGAAGCCAAGCAGAGAAACTGATGAGAGCACTGTAAATATTCCATTAGTTAAAATTACTCTCTGCAAGTTTGAAAACTTCAACCTGGGCCAGAGAGATGGTACAGTGGGTAAGGTGCCCACCTTGCACATAGCTCACCCTGGGTTTGATTCCTGGCCCCAGGTATGGTCCCCCAAATCTACCAGAAGTGATCCCTGAGCATAGCCAGTTGTGGCTGAAAAGCCAAAACAAATTTAAAAAAAATTCAAGTCAACTTAAACAGAGGAGGAGATTGATTTTGAGAACAGAGGAAGAGATTGGTTGTAAGAACAGAGAAGGAGATTTGTGTTGAGTCTACAAATGGTTCTGAGTGCTTCCTAGTTCATGTATTCAGCAGGATTTTCACAGTAATGCTACGATGAGCCCCTCGTGTGTGCATGTGCATTGCCTGGAGCTCAACTGGATTTGGCTTCATCTGTGGTCTGGCTGCAGATTTTTTCTAATCATTCTGGAACCAGCATCTACTGGAATATGTTCTTTTTATGGCAGAAAAGCAAGAACCAAGCTTATTTCAAAACCTCTGCTTGGGTCACATCTACTAATACGCCATTGCACAAAGTCAGTTGCAGCCAAGTCCAGAATGAAGGGCAGGATGTACAACCCATTCCCCCCACACCCTTCACCAAGAAGCCTCGCAAAGGTGTGGGCATTTATTACCACTACAGGGGAGTCAGGAATTGGGGCCACCAGGTGAGTCTCCCACAGCCCCATGGGCAAAAGTATCAGGACCTCAGGAAGGACTCTGAGCAGAAACAGGCCTGGAATTAGGAATCTAGAAAATTGTCCATCCCTTGCCTCAGTTTCTCTCTGCGCCTCTACCATATTCTCCCCTTTTGCTTCTAGAGCCATCACATGGCATGTCACAGTGCCAGCCTAGGTTAGACCTCAGTGACTTTGCATCTTGGCAAAAGTGTAGTGGCCTTTCCTCTTCTCCTCAGCTCCTGCAGTGAGAGGGCTGCTGAGACCCAAGGTTGCCACAGTGGGGGAGGTGAGGAGCACCAAGATTTTGGATGTGTTTTGAAGGTAGCGCTGAGCAGCTTGGCTGGTGGATTGGATATTGTAGTTCGGCGCGAGGGAGTCAGTGCTGCAGGGATTGTCGCAGGGTGGGTCAGCTCCCACCCTTTCTTCCCAGTTGAGGCCATGAGGTAATGGTCCAACCAGTGAGACTGATGCATCCGTAATCTCCTACTCAGTAGAAATAGTAGGCTTGGGCCAAACCCAGGTGCTGGCTTAGTATGTGAGTGACTGTTCCCTGTCCTGGAATTCATCTGTCCTCATAGTGTGGGTATTAGAATTGAAGGCGCAAAGGAGTGAGAGAAGAATTTTCAAACTTACGTTGGACATTTTGCTAAAGACCAAATTAAAAGGCCGTTGAAAAGCCAGCTGGCCTGACTGCCTGCCTTCTTTCTTTTTCTCCCTCCTCCCCTCCTTTCTTCCATTCCTCCCTTCCTCCTCCCTTCCTCCCTCCCTCCCTCCCTTCCTTCTCTCCTTCATCTCTTCCTTCCTTCCTTCCTTCCTTCCTTCCTTCCTTCCTTCCTTCCTTCCTTCCTCCTTCTCTCCTTCCTTCCTTCCTTCCTTCCTTCCTTCCTTCCTTCCTTCCTTCCTTCCTTCCTTCCTCCTTCTCTCCCTTCCTCCCTCCCTCCCCTCTTCCTCCCTCCCTCCTTCCTTCCTCCTTCTCTCCCTTCCTCCTTCCCTCCCTCCCTCCCTCTTTCCCTCCCTCCCTCCCTCTCTCCCTCCTTTCCTTCCTTCCTTCTCTCCTTTTCTCCTTCTCTCCTTCTGTCCTTCCTTCCTTCTCTCCTTTTCTCCTTCTCTCCTTCCTTCCTTCCTTCCTTCCTTCCTTCCTTCCTTCCTTCCTTCCTTTTCCTTTTTCTTTTCCTTTTCCTTTCCTCCCCTCCCCTTCCCAGCTACACCTAATAGTGCTCAGAGGTTATTCCTGGGGTTATTTCTGGCTCTTGCTCAGGATTGAGACCCGTCTGTGTTTAGGGGCTTCGCCATATGTGATGCGGAGATAGAATCAGGCTTGACCATATGCAAGGCAAATGCCTCAACCCTGGCACTATATCTCTGTCCCCATCCCCAACGGTCTTTAAAATCATTTTTTCTCCTCCTTTTTTTTAAAAAAAATTAATCACAGATTAAATTTTTTTTGGGGGGGTAGGTTTGGGCCACAGCTGACTGTGCTCAGGACTTACTCCTCGGTTCTGTGCTCTGGGGACCATGTACAGTATGTGCACGGCAGGCACCTTACCCACTATACTATCTCTCCAGCCCTGACCTTATCCATTTAAGCAACTCTCTCAATGTCAGCGGCTTTCTCTATATAGTTTATTAAATTTAGGAAGTTGAACATTGATAGTATTATCAAATATACTATTCCCTTTTCAAATGTTACCAGTTATCTCAGTACTGACCTTCATAGGAATTTGTTTTTTGACACAGAATTTTGTTCTAGGAATAACTATGTGTTGTGATGTATTTTTATCTTTAGTGTTCATTATTTTGGGAAATAGGTTCTTTTCTTTTCTCTTCTTTCTTTCAGCCCTCTTTGAAGACCACTTGCCAGGATTTCTGTTTTTCGTAGAAATGAACTACAATTTGGATTTGTCAGTTGTTTCCTTGTGATTAGTGTGTGTTTTGGCAGAAATATAAGCTAGCTGGTGATACTATCTTCTCCAAACAGCATTTTGGGAGTCGCTTGATGTCAGCTATTCTGAATCAAAATTACTTAATTCAGTCTTTTAAATGACGTTTAAAGTAAATGTTGGGGTGTCATTTCAATCACGGAGGTAATAGGATGCATATGTCTGAGTGATATTCCTTATGACAGGAAAGATTGATAGGGATGGAACCTTGACCTTGACTTTTCTCTTTATCAACAATATTAGGGTGGCGATGACGTCATGGCCTGCGTTCATGATGACAATGGCAGAGTCCGAATACAGCACTTCTATAATGTTGGTCAGTGGGCAAAGGAGATTCAGAGAAATCCTGCCAGGGATGAAGAAGGGGTTTTTGAGAACAACCGAGTCACCTGCAGGTTTAAACGTCCTGTGAATGTTCCTAGAGAAGAAACCATTGTTGATCTGCATTTGAGCTGGTATTACCTCTTTGCTTGGGGTCCTGCCATTCAAGGTAAGTTGACATTGTGGCATCTGTATTAAATGTCAGATTCATGATGCATGGAATAAGCACTTTGGATAATAATAAAAGAAGAAGAATCCTGCCTTCAGATGGCTATAATGGGCTTATCAAATACATGATAAATGAATGTTGGGGCTAGAGACACAATACAGGGTAAGGTGCTTTTCTTGAATGCAGCTGACTCCTGTTCAATCCTAGCACCATTACTGGTCCCTTTGAGTACTGCCAGAAGTGAACTCTGAACACCACGGGGTGTGGCCCCCTCAAAAAAAAAAAGAAAAGCAATAGAGATGCATAGTTGGAGTAGTATCAAGTAAGCCCTGATGCATCGTGCAAACCTTTGTGTGCTCTATGTGGGGCCTTGACCCTACTTAATTTTATAAAATTCTCACTTAGGAGGCCGGAGCAGGTAGGGCATTTGCTTTGCATGTGGCTGCCTTGGGTTCGATCCCCAGCATCCTGTATTGTACCCTTAGTACCTCCAGGAATAATTCCTGAGTGCTGAGCCAGGCGTAAACCCTGAGCATTGCTATGTAAAAGCAAAAAACGAACAACAACAACAACAAAAACTCCGAAGTCCTCACTTAATACTATATCCTTAAGAAGCATCAACACAGTTATTTTGGAGAGATTAAGGAAACCTACTCAAATTCTTCTAATTAAAAGCATAACACAGAAAATTCAATCTTAGCTGTGTCTGATTCCAGAAAATAAATTCCAAAATGTATTTTTTAATTAATCACTGTGTAATACACAGTTACAAATTTTTTCATGATTGAGTTTAAATCATATAGTGTTCTAATACTTATCTCTTTTCACCATCATATAGTGTTCTAATACTCATCTTTTCACCAGTGTACATTTCCCATCACCAGTGTCCCCAGTTTCCCTCCTCAAGCCCCACTCCAGGCTGCCTCTATAACAGACACTTCACTGTTACTGAAGGGTTATCATGTACATCACTTTAACAATTTTCCCCACACCCAATTCTTGGATAGAGTGATCATTTCCTACTGTCATTGTCATAGCGGTCCCTTCTCTGTACTTCCTGAAAGACCCATGGCAAGCTTTCTACTATCTGCTATGGACCACTCCTCCTGGCCCTCATTTCTGATGTCTTTGTTATTATTCTCATACTATGTTTTTTTTAATATCCCACAAATGAGTGCAATAATTTTTTTCTCTATCTCTCTCATTTCACTCAGCATGATACACTCCATGTCCATCCATATATAAGCAGATTCCTTGGCTTCATTTTTTTCTAATGGCTGCATAGTGTTCAATTGTTGAGATGCATCATAGTTTCTTTATCCGTTCATCTGTTCTTGGATTGGTTCCAGATTTTGACTATTGGGAGTAGTGCTGCAATGAACATAGGAGTGTAGATGTCTTTTAAGTGTCATGCTTTTGGGCCTTGGGGAATATTCCCAGGAGTGGAATTGCTGAGTTGTATGTAAACTCAACCTAGGTTTTTGAGGAATATTCATATTGTTTTCCAAAAAGGCTGGGCCAGTCAGCATTTCTACCAGCAGTGAACAATTGTCCCTAGTCCCCCATATCCTCACCAATACTGGTTGTTTGTTTTTTTGTGATGGATGTCAGTCTCTGTGGTGTAAGGAGCTATCTCATTATTGTTTTGGTTTGAATTTCCCTGATGATTAGTGATAAAGCATTTCTTCATATGCTTTTTGGCCATTTTGATTTCTCCTTTGAGGATACTTGTGTTCATCTTTTTCCCATTTTTGGTGGGGTTGGATTTTTTCCCTGTAATTTTCTATCTGTTTTATATATTTTGGATATTAACCCCTTATCAGATAAATGGTGCACAAATAACTTCTTCTATCTGTAGGCTGTCTTTGTATTCTGGTCTTTATTTCCTTTGAGGTGCAGAAGCTTCTTAATTTAATGTAGTCGCATTTGTTGATATTTGATTCCAGTTGCTAAGTCAGCGTGGCATTGGATCTAAAGATGCCTTAAGTTTCAGTGTCATGGAGAGTTCTGCCTATGTTTCTCTCTAGGTGCCTTATGGTTTCAGGTCTGATACTGAGGTCTTTAATCCATTTTTACTTTACTTTTGTACCTAATGTCAGGAAGAGGTTTAAGTCATTTTTTAGAATGTGCCTCACCAGTTTTTCCAGCATTACTTGTTGAAGAGACTTTCCTTACTCTATGTTTTTTGCTCCTTTAATAGAGATTAATTGATCATACACTTGAGGGTCTCTGCGTGTTTAATTCTATTGATCAGAAGCATTTTCTTTATTGTAGTACCATGCTGTTTTAATTACTACTGCTTTGTAGTACAGTTTGAAGTCGAGAAAAGTGACACTTCCCATCTTATTTTTCCCAAGGATTGCTTCGGCCATTCTGGTGGTGGTGGTGATGGGGTGGTTATTGTGCCATATGAATTTTAAATCTATTTTATTTGAGCTGTTTCTTTGAAAAATGTCACGGGTATCCTTATAGGGATTGCATTGAATCTGTATAATGCTTTGGGGAGTATTGCCATTTTGATGATCTTAACCTTCCCATTCCTTGAGCAGGGTTTCATTTCATTTCATTTCATTTCATCATCCTGTTATTCGTCGATTGCCTCGAGCAGGCCCCAGTAACGTCTCTTTCATCCTAGCCCTGAGATTATATTCAAGGCTCTTTAGGAGAATGAGACCCATCATTGTTACTGGTATTTGGCATATTGGGTACGCCACGGGGAGTTTGCCAGACTCTGCCCTGTGGGCAGGCTACATTCGATAGCCTGCAAGTTTGTCCAAAGTAGGAATGAGATAATAAGATGTCATAAAATGATGTCCTGATAAGATGTCCGGGAGCTGGATTTTATAGTCTCTGAGTCTTGGCCGCTGATGGGATTACACGGCGCCAGGGGGCCAGGTGGTGGGTGTGACCCCCGCCTACTGGAATTTGGAGGATCTGGGTGGAAGATGCTCGACTCCAATTCGAGTAGGCTTGGAGGTCTCGGCCCCGGAACCCGCGTGGCTTTTTCCCTCTGCCAGTACCTTCATGTGTGCGGAGAGTGGTCTCAGCATGGTGGCGGCTGGTCTTGGAGGTCTTCGGCTGCCGGAGCCCTGGTCGGGGCGGGGAGGAAAGCTCAACCCGCTCCCCTCCAAGGGGCTCCGGGAAGGAACACCAGGCGCGGGGGCAGGTGTATGTATTTTTTATCTCCTTATGCCCTCTTTTATTTCTTTTAGCAGTGTTTCATAGTTTTCTTTGTATAGGTCTTTCACCTCTTTGGTCAAGCTTTTTTTCTTTGAGAAGTAAAATGCTTTATTTTTTGGTCATTCGTACAGACATGATGGAGGGTTATTTTACTTTTGAGGAAATTGAGGCTTAGACACGAGTTGAGTAACTTGCCTGCTGTCTCAGAATTGGTTACTAGTAAAACAACAGACAGTAGAATGGAAGTCAGTGTGGCTCTTAACCACTGTAGTCTCTTTCTATATCCCTTCAGTTGGCATTTACGGTTTTGAACTGCAAATCTCAACCCCCAGTTTTTTCCCTGACATATTTTTCTGTTTCTGTTTCTTTTTTTTCTTTTTTTTTTTTTTTTAGTGAAACACGATGAGGTACAGTTGTAGACTTACAAACTTTTGTGCTTGGGTTTCAGTTATACAATGATCGAGTACCCATCCCTCCACCAGTGCCCGTTCTCTACCACCAATGATCCCAGTAGCCCTCCCACCCCCCATCCCCCCATCCAATCCCGCCTCTGTGGCAGGGCATTCCCTTTTGCTCACTCTTTCCTTTAGGGTGTTGTAGTTTGCAATAAAGGTTTTGAGTGACCATAATGTTTGGTCTATAGTCTACTTTCAGCATGCATCTCGCATCCCGAGTGAGTCCTTCAAACATCCTTTACTTGGTGTTCCCTTCTCTGTCTGAGCTGCCTTTTCCCCCAGCATGTGATGTCAGCTTCCAAGCTGATACCTAAGTAATTGAGTTTCTGAGGCATAATTGTGAATGGAATTTTTTTTCTTTGCCTTCTATGTATTTGCATATAGGAAAGCTGTGGACTTTTGTAGTCTGCCACTCTACTATAAAGATTTATTGTTTCTAGGAGCTTTTTTGTAGCATATTTAGGCTTTTCTAAATATAGTATCATGTCATCCACTGATAGTGAGAGCTTGACTTCTTCATTTCCTATCTGGGTGCCCTTCATGTCTCTATCCTGCTTAATTGCTTCTTGGCAAGTGCTTCCAGTACTTAAGTGAATAGAATTGGCAAGTGTGGGCAACCTTGCTTGTGCCTTATCTTAGCAGGAAGCTTTTTTTCCCCCCCACTGAGTGTGATGTTTGCTGTGGATTGTGGTAAATGACTTTGACTCTGTTGAAAAAAGTCCCTTCAGTTCCCATTCTGTTGTGTTTTTATCATGAACGGGTGCTGGATCTTTTCAAATGCTTTCTCTGCACCGATTGAAATGATCATATGATTTTTTTTATATTGATATGATGTGTTATGCTGATTGAGTTATGTATATTAAACCATCCTTACACCCCTTGGATTTGGTTTGCAAGCATTTTGTTAAGGATCTTTGCATCTAAGTTCATCAGGAATATGTTTGTAATTCTCTTTTGGTGTATGTGTGCTGTCCCTATCTGCTTTTGGTATCAAGATAATGGTTGCTTCGTAGAAATTGTTCATGAGTGTTTCTGTTTATTCAATTTCCTGAAAAAAACCTGAAAAAGATTGGCAGTGGGTCTTTTGTAAAGGTTTGGTAGAACTCACTAATGAATCCATCTGGGCCTATGCTTTTTTTTGGTGGGGAAAACTTTTAATTACCATTATGATTTCTTTGATAATGATAGGTCTGTCCAGGAGCTCCATATCTTCTTGGTTCACCTTTGGAAGGTTATAGGAGTCCAAGAATTTATCCATTTATTCTCGGTTCTCTTGTTTCCTTGCCTATAGTTGATCAAAGCAATTGGTTAGTGCTCCTTTCGATTTCTGTGGTCTGTTGTGATGCCACCCCTTTCATTTCTGAT